TGCAGACAGCTCCACGTGGAACGTTTTGGAAACGTCCCCAAATGCTGAGGTGGCCTTGTTTTTACTTCTGGAAGACCGTGTACAGCAGATGTTGTGACAGATGTACTTCTAAGATATCAGAAAATTCTTGGCACAAACAGCAAGCGTCTTTTGAAGTACTTGGCTGTGCTTCCCACAACGTGGGGGGAAATCCCGAGAGATCCATGGCCCTAGGGAGGCTGCTCTGAGAGCTCCAGAACCTCAACCTGAAGCCAGGACTGTGGCTGGCTTCCCTCTGGAGCGAAGAGCCCCACGTGTTGTTGCAGGGAGGGGCACTGGGATGCCTCTGCCCCCATGGCGCTCAGTCACGGCATTGTCACACAGGAGGATATTAGGTTTTCATTCTTTTTTAATGTGTATAGGTGTTTCATCTGCATCATACAATGCCCTTGGAGGCTAGCAGAGGATGTCGGGTCTCCTGGGACTAACGTTGCAGGTGGTTGCGATCCACCATGTGAGTGCTGGGAATTGATCCCTGATCCTCTGGAAGAGCAGTCAGTACTTTAAACCACTGAACTATCTCTCCAGTCCCTAATCTTAATTTTCAACATTTATTTATTTGTATGTGAGGGCAGGCCTGTGCCATGGTGTGCACCTGGAGATCAGGGGACAGTTCTTGGGAGTCAGTTTTCTTTGTCTACCATATGGAACTCAGGTGGCCATGCTTGGTGGCTAGCATTTTTACTGAATTCTTAATATGAAAATACAAAAAAAATTCTTTAAAAAATTACATGTAAACCAGGTAATGGTAGTGTGGACCTTTAATCCCAGCACCTGGGAGGCAAAGACAGGTGGAGCTCTGAGTTTGAGGCCAGCCTGTCTACAGAGTGAGTTCCAGGAAAGCTAGAGCTACACAGAGAAACCCTGTCTCAAAAAAAAAAAAAAACCAAAATAAGTAAATTACATGTATGCATATGTATTTGTGTTGGGGTATGTGCACTGAGTGCGGCTGCCCACGGAGGCCTGGAAAGGGCGCTGGGTCACACGGAGCTGGACTGACAGGTGACTGTGGGCTGCCTGGCACAGGTAACGGGAACTGAATGTGGGTCCTCTGCAGGAGCAGAACGTGGTCTTAATCACTGAGCCAACTCTCCAGCCCCCAAATATTTAATTTTTAAATTGCTTGGCATGGTAGTACACCTTTAATCCCGGCACTTGAGAGGCAGGAACAGGCGAGTCTTTGGGAGCTGAGGCTACCCTGGTTTACACACTGAATTAGTTCCAGGTCAATCAGAGCTACATAGTAATACCCTGTTTCAAGAAATTACTAATTAAGTCGAGCAGTGGTGGTGCACACTTTTAATTTTAGCACTTGGGAGGCAGAGACAGGCTGATCTCTGTGAGTTCAAGGCCAGCCTTGTCTACAAAGCAATTTCTAGGATAGCTAGGACTGTTATACAGACAAAAAAAAAATCCTGTCTCAAGAAACAAACAAACAAATAAAAAATTATTAATTACGTGTATACATATGTCTGTATATGTGAATACAGGTGTCCTTAAAGGCCAGGAGAGGAGGTTGGATCTCCTGAAGCTGGAGTTATAGGATTTTGTGAGCTACCTTGCAAGCGTGCTGGGAACTGAAGTCTTCTGCAAGCGCAGTATGCACTCTCAAATGTTATGAACCGCTGAGCCTTTTCTCCAGCCCCCGGGGGTCGGATTTTAAATTTAACGTCCCAGAACACCCCTGAGGCTGAGCCACCTGTACTACAGCCTGTAGTACTGGTCTTCCCTCTTCTTCCCTTGCTGGAGAGAACACTTTGGGCATTGTTCAATATGGAGCCCCACGCTGGCCCCACTCCAGGTCTCCAGCTTTTAAATTTGTCTCTATGACAACTCACCCTCTCCCTGCAGGACCCACTGCACTCAGCCTGCTTCCCTGGGTATCATGAAGATCGCAGCTGGGTTTATCACACATGTGTCCCCATGCTTCACCTCACCTGGCCCAGTGTGTCCGCCTAGACATCTAGATGTGGCTGGGAATAACCCCTGGCTCTAACCCTGTACCCCTGATCTTCTACCTCCTCCCTCACTGTCCTTCCAGAAGCATGTGAGATGAGGTGAGGGGGAAGATTCAGGTCAATGGTGCACACATCCGATGTCTGAAAAGGTGTCAACAAGTCAAGAAATTAGAAGAAACCCCAGCCTGCCACACAAGTCTCTGCAAAAGTTCACTATAAAAGAAAATCACCCAGAGAGAGAAAGAGAAGCGTGAGAAGATGAGAAACAATCCCTGTGCCTCAGAAGAGGTTAAAGAACCCCAAACAGAACAGTTGGATATTCTACATGTGACTACATGTGCAGTCCCAAGACCTGCCACAAGAGGGCGCTGCTTGTACACAGCAGCTCAGGACTCAGCTCTGGGACTGAGCACAGGTAGGTAATGGCAATTGATAAAGGAGCTAGAAGTGGGGCTGGACACCATGCCAAAGAGGAGCAGAGCACACGCCACACATATGAAGTCAAGGTGTCAGAGCAAGACTCCCTTAACCTCTGCACTGGAAGTCGGACCCCGAGTGGACGTAGCTGGGTTTGAATCTCACCCTCAGCTGTCTCACTCCACAACCCTCCCTGAAAGACCTCCAAGCCTCACCTGCCCCTCCTGCTTCCCCCAGAGGGATGGTGTCTAACTGTCTAGGCTGAACATTTAAGCCTCCATCCTAGCAGGAAATCTATGCTATGCTCCTGCCTTCCTCCTCCGTCCTGCTTAGTGAGGTCTACCTGAGAAATAAAGGCCAGGTCCTGAGTCCAGCAAAGGGCTCACTCAGTTTCTTCCCAGCCTCCTCTTCCGTCTTCCATGTCTCCACAGCTGAGGACAACATTGACCGGTCCCCTCTGAAGTAAACTTCTCCCAACTTCAGCCTGTCTGCTATGAGAGACTGTGACTCCCCAGGATCCTTCCATCTGAGTGATCAGACACAGTTTGCCCCATGGGAAGTCCGGTTGGACTCAGGACATTGGTCACTGGTGATTAAAAAGAGGGAGGTGGAGAGATGAATCAGCAATTGTTTACTGCTCTTCCAGAGGACCTGAGTTCAACTCCCGACACCAAATCAGGCTGCTCACAACTGCATTCAACCCTGGCTCCGGGAGCTCTTTTACCCTCTTCTGATCTCTGTAGCCAGCTGCACGCGCACATGTGCACATGCACATGTGTACACACACACACACACACACACACAAAACCAAAACCAAAAAAAAAAAACCCAAACCCCAATCTTAAATTTAAAAAGTCACACCAAGGCCCTCTTGGGTGGAGCGTGTCCCCGGTAGGCTACAGCTCTCGAGCCAGCCCCTCCCCTGCCCTCCTGGCTCTGGTGCTTCCTCTCCAACAGAGAAGCCTGGAGAGAAGCTCATTAAAATTGCCTCCGTCAGTCTTCAAAAATCCAGCTGCTCTAATGGTGGAGCCCTTACCCACCTGTCACCTGGTCAGTCAGCGTGTGTCCATCAGGACAGTCAGGCAGAGAACGCCTGACTCTCCCAGAGGCCAAATCAGCTTGCCTTGTCCCCCACTGCATGCAGCCTATTTGAAGTGCTGTCTGTCTGTCTGTCCCTTACTCTAGTCTGGACCTGTCCACCTGCTGGTTCTCTTGCCTAGACCCAATCCTGTCCTTTCACCTGCAGTGGCTGCCACGGTGTCCCCAGCTTCTGCTTTGTTATCAATGGAGACTCCTGCACCTTCTGCTGTCTTCCCAGTTTTGACTTCTCAGGTCTCTTTGTAACTCCTTGTTAGCCCTTTGTGGTTACTCACTGGCTTACACACGCACACGTTTGCTGTGTGATGTGTTCTGTGTATTCTGATAACATTAGTAATTAAGATTGGAATGAAAGAAACTGTGTTTGCTTCGGCTGTGCTATCAGGAAAGCGGGATTATCTGGCATATTGTTACTGAAAACGCTGTATCTTGTGAACTGTTTTCAATGAACTCTGTTACCATGGAAAAAGCTGTACCTTGTGAACTGTTCGCAATGAATTCTGTTACCACGGAAAAAAGCTGTACCTTGTGAACAGTTTTCAATGAATTCTGACATTGTAGAAAGGCAAATCTGTTCATCTTTGTTTCTGACATAGTAAGCAGCCCTTACTCTACACTTGGACAGCCAGCCAGAGCACAGCCTGGCAGGAAGAAGGCAAATCCATGATCCAGGGAGATGTGGCTGCCCTTGACAGAGGTATAGATGCAGGGGAGAGGGAAGCCCTGGAAGGGTCATCTAGGCAGAGAAAGGGGCCAGATGCCATCCCACACCAGCCCTGCTCCCAGATCATGCAGGACCCCACAGGACAAGGTAAGGATGGCTGGCTCCAAGACTCCTTAAAAGCAAACTTGGCAGAACCATCCAGGATCCCACCAGAACCTGGGAGGGGGAGACAGATGTAAGTAAAAGGGGGATGGATTCTCATGTGTTTCCTGCTCTAGACACCCATCTTGGTCAGAAGCCACATCACAGTTCTCCCTACACAAGCCTACGCCCACATAGGGCATCCTTTAACCCACGATGGCCATATCCATGGCGGAAAGCACTATGACCGAGCATGTCAGTGCACACTTGATGCTCGGTGGTGAGTGCTTGTTACCGTACCAGGTGGCTCACACCTGCCTGTAACTGCAGCTCCCGATTCTCTGATACCCTTTTTTGGCCGCTGTGGGCACCCATGCACACACATATAGACGCACATTTGTACACAAAAATAAATTTTCTTGTCTTTAGAATTTTACTCATTTTATTTTTATGTGTATGACTTTTTTTTTGCCTGCACGCATGTCTGTGAACCATGCTGGCTGCTCTCAGAGAGGAACCAGGTCTAAATCCCAGCCAGCACCTACATGGTGGCTCACACCTATCTGTAACTCTAGTCCCAATGGACTGATGCTCTCTTCTGGCCTCCATGGACATCAGGCATGCATGTTGCACGCAGACATATATGTAGGCAAGAGCTCATACACATAAAATAACAAAACACATTTTAAAAAGAGTATTTTTGTTTATTTTTATGGCATTAGAATGAACATCTCTCTCTTCCTGAAAAGTAAACAAACCCTGGCTCCAGCAGGGCAGTGGCAGGGTCTCTGGTCCTGACCACTGGGGATTTGAAATCACAGTAGGGATCTCTAGGGAGGAGGCGCTTCCATAAAGGTGATGGCTCTTCCAACCGCTCCTAGACGCAGTCTTTCGGGCCCTGCTGTTCTTTCCTCTCGAGCTGCAGAACCTGGAGAGAAAAGCCCATCAGAATGATCTCCGTCACCCTTCAAACAACCTACTGCTGAAACTATCCAGGGACTGAGTGCAGAGGGTGCCGGGGAAAGGCTCGGCCCGGGAGTGCCTGGTGGTCCCCGCGGATGGTGAGATTTCGGGTGCTTCTATTTCTGCCCACCACGAGGACACACAGCATCAGAATCCCTTGCTGATCTGTCAGAACTGCTGCCAGGTGGGTGTTGGTGGGAGGTAAGTGACCAAGCCCTAACTACCACTGAAGAAGCCAGAACTCAGTGAGGAAAGATAACAGCAGCCAGAGCACTTGCTGCTCTTCTCGGGGACCTGAGTTCAGTTCCCAGGACCGGTGTCAAGAGGATCACAATGGGATCAATAGGCACTTTACTCACGTGTACATATCCACACATATAGATCCCCCCACCCACACATAGAGTTACAAAGAACAACAATAAATTAAACATCAGAGCTGATGCAGCTCCCACCGTCTGCCCTTGATGGCTACACTGTTCCATTCCTGTGACTCAGTGACAGCAGGATTCAGGGACAAAGCATGTGGGTAACAGTTACACAGGGTGCAGGCTCAGCCTAGCCAGTGCGGACGTGGGACAAGAGCATCCTGACCCACATCTCAGTTTCCAAGTGGTCACTGCCTACTTCCCAGGGGCTACTCTACCTCCTACTGACTTCCACTGAGTCTTCTGAGTTACTGGGGGTGGGGTGGTTCCCAAAGTCAGCTGGATAGAGTCACTTCCTTGCAAGCGGAAGCCCAGAGGTTTCCCATCCCCACACCAACTTTGACCTGGGCATTGCTGACCAAAGGGGCCAGATGACTCTCTTAGGGGCAGGGGACCGTCTGGCAGCATCCCTGCCTTCTCTTCTGGATGTCAGAAGCACTAACTCCAGCTCAGCCAAGAAGACCCTGCTGGGCACCTAACAACGCGGAGGTGGCAAGTATACCTTGCACCCTCAAAGTGCACACTAGCTGTGTCCTTGCCACAGCCACGGTTCCTGACAGTTCCTCTGGTCCCTTGGGTTCCACAGCTCAGCATGACCCTGGCCATACTTTGCCATCTTTAACTGTTGCCCCTGTGCTGAGCAGCTGTCCCTGTCTTCAGCAGAGCAGAGCTGGGAAGAAGCTGTGTTTAACCTGCCATCCGTGGGTGTCTCTGCTGTGGTCTTCAGAAAAGGACAGGGGTGAGGATACGGATCGGGGCTAAGTTTGCTTTAATCAAAGGTGTGGTGCCTTCAGCTCCAGCACTTCAGAGGCAGGGGCGGGAGGGACTCTGAGTTTGAAGCCAGTTGGCTTACACAGCGAGTTCTCCAGGGCTACACAGAGAGATTGTCTCAAAAATATATATTATATATATAAATAAGCCTGTGGTTGGGAACACCTTTAATCCCAGCACTCAGGAGACAGAAACAGGCAGATCTCTGTGAGTGCAAAGTTCTCCTGGTCTACATAGTGAGTTCCAGGACAGCCAGGACTGTTTACACAGAGAAACTTGTCTTGAAAACCAAATCAAATCAAATACATATATATTGTTTTAATCAATATATATAATAAAATAATCCAATTGTGGAAGCAAGGACAGTAGCACACCACGCCATGCCATTTTTCATATAAAAAGGGGTTTTTTTTCCTCAAGAGAAGCCCCTGTATGTCCTCCCAGGCAGGACACATGCAGCCCTCTGGTAGGACTCACCTGGTTATCAATGTGGCGGAACTGCCAGGGCCAAGCCGTGTTGTACAGAAAGGGTCTCAGGTCAAACCTGTTGTCATCAGGACTGTAGCTTTCAGCATGATATGCTGGCGTGAGGGTTGTCATCTTGTGCCTGTTCATGGAGTACTTCGAGAAAAACCGTTTCACCTTCTCAGCCACCTGGTAGGCAAGGGACACACGGGCTTCGAGTGAGAAAGGCAGGAAAGACTCGAGGCTAAGAGTCCTGCTTTTGGGGGGACATAAACAGCTGGCAGGTGCCAGCCCTGCCCCTGGCTTTTGCGGACAGCAGCATGGAGACATATCAGCTGTGCTGACACTAACTGAGCTATAGCGTCCTGGTTCTGACAGCCCAGTGCTGGGCTCCTGGAGGCCTCCAGGTGGGTCTACGGGCCCAGTAAGTCCTCTGGCCAGCAGAGACCTAATGCATTTTGAAGCCTCTGCAATGCACCAGCACACCCACGCGGCTGGCCCATACTCAGGCTAACTTAGGGCAGCCAGGAATCTCAAGTTGGTGAAGATGACAGCGTAAAACGTGACTGTGTATGCAATGGGTCACCCAGAGGTGGCGCAGCCTGACGTCATACACGGCTTTACCTGTCTTGGCGTACAGCTATCTTTCCACATGTTGAGCAGTTTACAGAACATACTGTAGGGCCCAGCCTTGGCGACCTTCCGAAGTCTGCCGAAGACGGAGAGTTCTGAGTATGTCATCCCCATGTCTTCCTGGGGGGACAGAAGTGTGTTCAGGGAACAGTGGGGTGGTGCTGGGGGGGACCCCACAGTCTCTTACAGTTGGGGAGGCAAGCAGATGCCCAGCCAGGGTTCTTAGAACTCACTGGGTGCCAGGAGATGCAGGTTTGAAAAAAATGGCCCAAACCCTGCGAGGCATGGGAGGCGACTGACTCTTCTCTGAGGTAGAGAACCCGCTGTGTTTCCTAGCTCGTCCTCATGCTGCCTCTGACCCACCCTGTCCTCCCCTTGTCAGCCCGATCCACAGTGAGAAAGCTAAATCAGAGTGAGCCGGGGTCTCGTGGCAGAAAGGATGCTGTGAAGGGACCCAGCGAGAAGGGGAGACACACCCACCATGACAGAGCCACCATCATTACCTCATCTGTCTGAGACACCTGCCCGTTGGCTAAGGGCTCCAGCTCTGCAGTGGCTGGTGCTGACAGGATGCTGCAGTAAGACACACAGAGTCAGTCACCAGGGCTGCTAACGGGCTCGTGAGCTCTGGCAGGATGTGTCCCTAGACAAACTGCATTTGGGGGCTGACCATGCCTGGCAGGGCCACGCCTGGGCTCATGGTCCTGGGGCTTCATGACCCAAAGGACGGTAGATCAAGGAAAGCAAGGAAGTGAAGAGTGCAGGGCAGGGGCCCACTGCAGGACTGTTAGTAGTTGGGGTCAGGACACTTGACAGAGATGGTAGGGTGGGGGTAGTTTGACTTGCTGCAGGTTAGTTGGGAGGATCCCCAGCGGGTGCCTATAAGCTGCCAGGAACAAACTCTGTGACAACCCCAGGGATCTCCACACATTATCCGAGGTCCCCTGCGGACACGACTGACTCTGTGAGGAGAACAGGGACACAGTTTTCCTGGTACCAGAGACGCTGTAGCGGCCTGACAGGCTGTGGGTATCCTCAGCAGACACCCCAGGGATCAGGCTTGTCAAGTTCCAGCACCAGTCTCTCTGCCTTGAGATGGCGGCAAGAGAAAAGGCAGTCTGGGAGGAACTGTCATTCAAGACACTTAGAACTGTGGGTACAGGAACAGGAGTGGGTGAAGTCATGACCTCATGCCTCCAGATGAAAGGTGGGGCACAGGGTGGCTAAGCAGGGCGAGGGTGGCCCTGGGGGCCCAGGACCCACAGGAGCACTCACGTCTGCAGAGCGGGAAGCTGGAAGCGCTCAGTGCAGAACTGGACGAAGGCTCTCAGGTCTGTCTTGCTGATGCCGCCTATCGGGTTGATGTCCGCGCTGGAGCAGTCATACTTGGTCAGGTAGCCGAGGAGACTGCCAGGGAGAAAGGATGGTGTTTCTATGGTTTCTGGGGTATTGAGGGATCTGGGGTCTACCAGTGCTGGCCAAGGGTTACCTTCTTCCAGGGGCCCAGAATTCAGAGGCCTAGCATAACCCTGGCCCTGGAGGAGGCCAGCAGGGGGACATTGGGCACACTGCATGGACATCTATCTTGGCTCAGAATGCTTGGGTACCACCATCAGCCTACTGGGAAGAGCTTGTCTAGAAGGCCAGGGTCATCTAGGTGGAGCTGAGAGACAGATGCTTGGAAGGGGAGGCAGGAACTTGCACAAGTGTATACTCAGTCTGCTACAAAGCTCCGATATACAGCATTAGATCTGAGACCTCACATGGCAACAAAGACCCTGAAGATGGACTGAGGACCCCACACAGAGATGGACCAGGACTACAGGGTAGGTTTGAGAAACAGCCCCAAGTCTCCTCAAAGGAAATAAGAATTAGAGTCAAGGCCAAGGGGTGCCATCAAGATGCTGATGGCTGTGAGGATACAGGGAGGGTTGGGCTGGTGGTGGGTGTGGGGAGAGCCCCCAGAGGCCTGGGGGAGGACCAACAGCTTCAGCACTTTGAGAGCTTGGAGCAGCTGCCCTGCAGTGACCGTGAGAACAACTTAGGGCGCACACACACCTTCCAACCCCGCCCACCCGCCACAGCTCTGCCACAGGCCACTGTGTTCCCATCCTGGCCACACGCGAGTTCTTGCTGACCCAGTGGCTCCAAGCTAAACTGGCAAATAGTGGCAAATATTCTAGCGTCAGTCAGTGTCTTCAGGTAGAGGAGAGGATGATGAAGCTGGTGGGACTCAGATTGCCACCAGCAGAGACACGGGTCCTGGAGAGGCGCCCACAACACATCCTGCTCTCCTGCTGTTTCCATGGGAAAGGCCACCACTAATCCACGGCATCATAGACCCTGGCAGGACTCTGGCCTCCTTTCCTCTACCTCCTGCTAGCTGGCATCAACCAGCAGCTCTGGTGGCCTACAGTGCATTCCTGTCCATTGTTCTGGCCTCACCCTGATCTACTGTTAGCAAGAACACTCCACCCTGCTCCACCCTGCTCCACCCTGCTCCACCCTCACTCACTGTGTGTCACCCACAGGCCTGGGACAATAGCCTTCCTTCAAAAGGCAGCCACCAAGTAGTTTGACTAATGTAGGGAACCTGGGCTTGTAGGCTCCACTCTCCCTTTCCGAGGTCCCTGGGCCTAAGCTGTGTGTACAAACGACATGGTTGGTGCTGAACCCCTGCATCCTTCCTGGGAGGTGGCGTTTCTGGCAGGTGTCAACAGAAGGTGCCTGCCAGCCTGGGTTTATCTGTACCCAAAACACTGAACGACCAGCTGCCCAGGAAGTGGCCCTTTATACCAGCTGCTAGCAGGGTGTGGAACCGAATGTCTCCCTTGTAACATTACTGGGAGCAGGCTTGGGAAACTGTGCCAGGCTGCTCTGTCCCTACCCAACCTCACTGCCAGTCTGTTTGCAATACAGGCCACGGCCCCAGAACAACCTGATACCAAGTCCCAAGCCCTCTTAGCAAGTCAACAAACACACTCTCACACAACTGCCTGGGCCCAAGACGCCACAGGCACCCACCTATCATCCTTATGGCTGGGCCTCATCATCTCTCAAGCTCTTAACTCACCGCTTCTCTTGGCACCATCTCTTGGCAAAACCACCAGCTGCTTTACCCAGCATTTCCCAACTGCATGGGCACCAGCAGCTGGGTGCTGCTGAAGAGGGACGGTGACCCCATTGTGCTCCTGTCTCATCCTCTCAACCCTACCCCCACTGGTGACTCCAGTGTGATTCCAGTCTTGGGCACTAGGGGATGGCTCTCTAGGTAAAGCATTTTCTACACAAAGACCAGTATTGTGGGACACGTGTACACTGTGTGAAGATACGTTGCTAGGATTGTTAATAAAGAGCTGAGTGGCCAACAGCTAGACAGGAGGTGTAGGCAGGACTTCGGGGCAGAGAGAGGAAGTAGGAGGAGACAATCGAGGCGGCCGGGAAATGACAATGAGACATGGAGTCAGACATGCAAAATGAAACGAAGGTAAAAAGCCACATGGTAAAATGTCGATTAATAGAAGCAGGTTAGTTTGAGTTGTAAGAGCTAGTGGGACTAGCCTAAAGCTAAGGCCGAGCTTTCATAAGAAGTCTCCATGTCATTAATTGGGAGTTGGCTGGCAGGACAGAAAAGGATTCTTTACAGATGAGGACCTGAGTTCAGAACCCTCAGCATCCACACAAAGCTGGACACAGCAATACCATGTGTGATACCAGCTATCCTACGCAGATATAAACAGAATTCCCAGAACCTTACAGGGCAGCTAACCTGGAATACACAGCAGTGAGCAATGACAGCCTGCTTCAAACAAGTAGAAGGTGAGGACTGACCCTGGAAGCTGTCCTCTGACCTCTACATACATGCCAGGGCATATGCACACATACACAAATACAAATAAAAAGCCTGCTAGATATGGTGACACAATCCTATATTCCCAGTCTCAGAAGGCAGAGACAGGAGGATTCTTTTCAGTTTTAGGGCAGCCTGGGTTACATAGTAAGTTTGAAGATACCTTGTGTTTCATAGTAAGAAGCTGTCTCAAAATAAAACCAAATGAAAGTACAGATGGGAATGGGTGTATGTATATGTGGGTGGCTGAGTGGATGAATAGGTGGGTGGATATATGTATGTATGTATGTATATATACATATATGGGTCGATGGATGAGTGGTGGTCAATGTATGTATGTATGTATGAGTGAATGCAAGGTGGGATGGTGGTGTATGCATGTATGTATGGGTGGGTGGATGGGAATGAATATATATATGCATGGGTGGATGCATGGAAGGGTGGGGTGGGTGTATGTACATATGTATGGGTGGGTAGATGGATGAATACGTCGGTGAATATACAGATGTATGTGTGAATGGATAGGTGGGTGGATGTATATAAGGGTGGGTGAATGGATAGGTAGAGTGGCAGGCGGATGGGTAGATAAGTGGGTGGTCAGAATAATGGATGGACAGATGAATGACTCAACTTATGGATAGAAAGACTGGTAAAAAGGCCAGTGGATGAATACATGACACTTTAAAAACTCCTCAGCTAATAAGGAGCATGTGAGACAGGAGGTGTGGTGGCTCACCAAGCCTGGGAAGGGATCTACCAGTCTCCACTGCTGGCTCTGAGGTCGGGTGGCTTTTACCTGGAAACAGAGGACCACTGGATGGTTTTTAAGCAACAGAAAAAGGGATTTGTCTTCAATTCCCATAGAAAAAGAGCCATCTTGTTTGGAGTGGAAAACTGTTTGGAATGAAAGGACCTATTATACATGGGACAGGAAAGGAGGAGGAGGTGACAGGAGCTGGAGGCAGGTCAGGAGCGGAAGCAGCCTGAGCTGGATGAGACTAGGCTGGGGCGGGAGCAGAGAGAGGTTTCCTGGTCTGCAGTCTCTGGATATCCTGATATTGCAGCGAGATCATGTCTTGAAAAGACCAAACTTCCATGAGAGACTAGGGTGTCATCAAGGCAAGTTCCCAACGACACTCACCTCTCATCCACATTGGCAGATCCAAGCACAAGAAGGCCCCCTTGAACACCCCGGGACCAGAGGCTCAGCTGAGCAAACAGGTAGGCGAGGACCATCCTTATCCGAGCCTGGATGAGGGAAGAAGGCAGTTACCCTGTGCCTGACCCAGGAAGCAGCTGTGCTATGATGCAATTCTAGCACAGGAACATTCAAGTCAGAACACACACAGGTTGAATCAAGCTGTCCTGTGCTGGGGAGAAGACTCCCACGCCTCCTTGCACCAGTCCACAGCAGGATCACAGTGCCAAGAGTAACAGGAGACAGACACTGAGTGGGGGTAGCCAGGAAGAGGCTCAGCAGTGCCCTCCACACTAGTTACCATTTGAGAGGTAGCCATGAACACAAGGGGCAAACAGAGATGGCATGCTGACAACAGACAAGCCTTGGGACCTTTCCTCTCCCTGGTGACACGTGGCCTATAGGCTAACCAAGATAGTCCAAGGATGGGGCAGGACCAGCAGGCCAGGGCTGGATGAAATGCATGGGTCCCCACATACACCCGTGTGTGGTCATGCTCCACCACACAGCCTCACCAAGGCTCAGATGGGCACACCCTCCACATGCACTTTCCCATGCACTGACACTCACAGACCTGCAACCCAAAGTATGGCTGTGTGGCCAGTGTCTTTGGTGAGACGTATAGGCAGTTAACACAGCGCTGCCCCCATCCCCAGGCTCCCTGTCTTTCACTGCTTTCCCCTCCACATCTTTGTGAGGATGAGGGCCAGGCTCAAATACCTACCTGCACATTCTGCAAGGCCAGGTTCTCCCTGCTGCTCCCTCCGTGTACTGAAAACCGAGGGAACTTCCCGGTCACCAGGCTGAAGATGCCCAGGACAGCCTTCACGGCGGTGTCAATGTTCAGATTGATGTGGTGGCTGGAAGGGCAGGAGTGAGAGGAGTCAGCACAGGTGTGCTAAGACATGTTCTTAATTACCTTTGAAAAATATCGCTTGGGTCTGGGTATAGCGGTGCACACCTTTAATCACAGTACTTGGGAGACAGAGGCAGGTGGATTTCTATGAGCTCCAGGTTAGCCAGAGCCACAGAATGAGACCTGTCTAAAAAAAAAAAAAAAAAGACTGGAAAGAAGGCTCAGCGATTAACTGACTAGACCTAGACTTGATTCCCAGCATCCCATGTTGGCTCACAGCCACCTGTAACCTCAGTTCCAGGGGATTTGAGGCCCCTTCTGCCACTCATATGCACCTGCCCACACTACATAGATAATTAAAATAAGATAAACATTTTCTTATCATGTGTATTGGGGGGCACACATTCCATGGCAGAGAACAACTTTTGGGAGTCAGTCTCTCCTTCCAGCATGTGGATCAAAGTGATTGAATTCAGGTCATCAGACTTGGAGGCAAGCACCTTTCCCTGCTGAGCCCTCTTATTGGTCCTCTACTATCATCCTACAGCATGTGACTCAACCATGGTCAGCATAGTAACGGCACTATAAAACCATGACTATTCACCATCTAGTGCCAGAACTCACCAGGCCAGAAAGAAATCCTGCCCAGCAACCAACACTCCCTACTCCCATCCTCCCCAGCTTGACAATTGCCAGTCTACTGTCTGGACTGATAAATCCACTGTGGGTAGGCTAGGCTGGGCAACACACAGAAATGGAGTTGTGCATGTCATGGCCTTTGACTCAGCACAACAGTTCTAAGCATCACTTATGCTTTCGAGGCACTCCACACCTTTTCACACCAGAGCGATACTCCAGTGTGGGCACATGACACTGTGTTTAACTATCCATCCGTCAACGGACGTTTGGCCCATTTCCTCCTCTCATCACCGTGACAAAGCTGACAACCAGGAACATCCTGTAGAAGTAACTGTTTGGGCTTGTAACTCCTTTGAGTGTAAGCCCAGGTATGGAACCTGCTGGTAGGGAAGCTTTTGGATGTACACAGGAATGTGACAGGCAGTTTCTTGATTTGCCAAAGAGCCTGAATAAAAGAATATTCTAGACGAAGAAGAGTCATGCCTCCTGGAAAAGTCTTGATCCTCCCCACAAAGCCTGCGAGCTACATCCAAAGCCGGCTGGACCAGCTTGACGGTATCCCGCTGATGGGAATATATGCCCTGAAACTGCACCTAGGGGCAAGACTGGGAGACGGATGTTTATGTGTGTACATGCATACATGCATGTGAACTGTACAGT